CAAAAAAAAAAAAAAAAAAGGAAAACGGCACAGCGCACAGCGCACACCCCTGCCCGGCAGCGCATTTTGACGCGCATCCCGCACAGCGCAACCGTTGCGCGCACCCGGAGTGAGTGAGCGCACCCCGCACCGCACCGCACCGGTGCGCCGCAAGTATGATGCGAATGCATGCGCACGCACGTGGGAAAAAAGGAATTGGGAGGGGCGGGGTGTGATGGCACACCTCGCCCCTTCCCTTGTAAAAATCGAACTCTCACGCACAGAAATTACATGAATCTGATGATGCCTTTCACGCTAGTGGAGGCCCGTCTCAATCGTAAATGATGTAAATAACCTAGTCATGTCCTTGTTACGATATGAAACATATTTGCGGCGCATCATGTGAGCACCGGGCGCGTACGGGTGGCACAAAGTGCACGTGCATGCATGCTTGCGCATGTGGTAAAAGAAAAAAATTGAGGGGCGGGGTGTGATGGACCACTCCACCCCTTACCTCATAAAAATCAAACTCTGTGAGGGAGAGAAAAAGATGGGTCTGTGCACTAGAGCGCCCCCCAGAAAATGTGTGTGTGTGTGTGTGTGTGTGTGTGTGTCTGTGTGTGTGTGTGTGGCCTTGGTTGACAATGGACTCAAGATGGGCGTTGCAGCCCTTGCTCCACTACCCAAAAATTCCACATGTACCTGAAGCTGTTAATGCTCCAAATACATTCATAACATTCGATCAGTTGGAATGTATCAGGCTGAAACACTGGACAGATACATGTCGGGTGTTGAGTAATGGAGCCAGGTCCTAGTACAGCCACGGCGAGGGTGCTTTCCGTTCTTGGACAACGGATACTTCTGACAATAGCTTTCTCGTTTTTGCTAAGAATAGGAAGGACATGACCCTCATCATGACTCCGTCGAAACTGGAACTCCCTCGTCCACTTTGCGGGCCTACTAACACTAGGACCTGTTTGACTCAGCTCCGGGTGTGATTGCGGTCAGGCACATGCAAGGCCGGCCATAATTGCCGTTAGATACGTCCAGAAAAGTCCTGGGGTGAGTAGGATCTGAGAGCGGGAGAGAGAGCTGACAGGGACTTGATGAGCTACCCCCCTCTCTCAGGTATACAAGATACATTGAAGCTCAGGATGAGGTGGGTTTTGATATGTGTGTCGATGCTTGACTTTATGTCTTTGTTAACATGCAGGACTGGTGGGCTGGTTTGCCTTTTGCCTTCGCTGTTTGATGTGTTGATGTGTCAATATGTTCAGATATAAGAAGCTTTCTTATAGAGTTGTATTCCCATTAGAGCTCAAGCTATGCAACACGACCGATGATGCGGTATGTGTTTATTCACCTGTATGTATTATTGTTAGTGCTCATGGAAATTGAGCAGTCGAAATGGATCTTGATGAACTTGGGTTGGTTGTTCTGTCATGCTGCGGTATGGCCCTATGGTAGTTTCTTTGCAGGTAGCCCTGGGGCCGTAGTGGTAGGGGGGTTTGGGGGGGGGGGGGGGATTGCAGGATTCTTGTTTTATTTATCAAGACCTTTCAGACTCTGTGCCATGTTTATGGTAGTAAGCAACAAGCTTCCAAATGCGAAAGCGAACAGACTTTGTTTTGCATCAAGGGTATATGTTCACACACTAGTGAGGTGCACTGGAAGATAATGTGGGACCCCAATAAAAAGGAAAAACAATGGGAGAGAGAGGGAGGGAGAGAGAGAGAGAGAGAGAGAGAGAGAGAGAGAGAGAGAGAGAGAGAGAGAGAGAGAGAAGCTGTGATGTTTTTTGAAGTTTTGCAAGTTTGTTTTTTGCATATGGTATGCATCATTTGAAAAAGACTTTGTGGTGAAAATGAAATTATTTGAAGAATCAAAGCCAGGATGGTATCTCCGTTCCAGGTAAGCATGTGACTTTTTTGAAGTTTGGGTTTTTGCATACCAGTATGGTGTGCATAATACATAGATGGTTGTATGTTTTATTAATAGGAACAATTTGCGGCAAAGAATGAAACGATATGAAGAATTGAAGCAGGAGGTTCCTCTTCCATTTCCAAGCTTTGCCAATCAAGTTCCTTCTGGTTGTCTTGTTTGGGATAAATCTTATCGTATGAAGACCAAGTACATCCCACGCTTACTAGCCTGGTGCTTCCTTTTTGCTTTTTTACATGTCAAGGGCTGGCAATATTTTTTGTGTCGTATCAAATTGAACAACATGCTGAATCCTACACGCGTCTCCTCCCCTCCTCTCCTTCCCCCTCACCCCCCCCCCCCCCCCCCCCCCCCCCCCCCCCCCCCCCCCCCCCCCCCGCCCCTGGTGAGTCTGTTGCGAACAACCTGTGATTGCTGTTTTTCAATCTGATTAGCTTTGCGTTGCGTGATTTGTGCTGCAGTGTTCTTTTCTCATTCAACAATTTGCTCCATCCCTGTTTTCAAAACTGCATCTTTATGGAAGCAAACCTGAGTTCGGCCATCTTGCCATTGCTAGAGGCATGCTGTCACTAGGGCTTCTTCGAATGAATGAGACCATATTTACAGTCAGATTCATCCGAGGACGTGCTTAATTCGTCTTAGTTTTTTAGTACATTCTTGCAAATGCATCACTCAGTTTCAGGCTGCAGAGGTTACGGCAACGTACCCCCTGAGGAGCCTTCTCGTGGGTTTTGTATTTTTCTGGTCCAGGAGGAAATGAAGTGCTCAGGGTTGTACTCCCAAACCCCCTTGTCAGGGATTGGAAATTGGTGCTCTGTTTTTTTTTGTTTTTTTTAATATAAATATTAAATAAGCTATATTCTTCACTCATATGCCTCACCCTGCTTATCCTGTTATGTAAGTCCATCTTCCAAATGGTTGCAGTTATGGGTTAACTCTCCCTAATGAATTCCAACCTTCTTATTCTGCTCAACTCTGCTCTATGCGGGGAGCAGTACCCCGGCTCCTAACACCTGGCACGAGCTGGAAAGCATCCTCTCTGCTTCCACAACCAACCAGGAGGCCCAAATTGGTGCTCTGTTTTTTCACTGGAATTCTGAATTTCCCTGTTTGGGATAATCCAGTCTGCGATGCTACAGACCTCGGCGGCCCTGAGAATAGGCCGCGCAAGGAACGCAGGCAGGCTTCAAGTGAAGGCCGCACCTGACAAGCCACTGGGGTCCCTGTCTTGAGCCCAGCCCAGGTAATTTCCCATAGGTCCTGTTGGAATATAGGCAGGACAGGTACCTGAGTCAGGACCTTGGGTGCCAACCGGGGGCACAGACCCTGTCCAGAGAAGAAAGAAGAAAAGAAGAGGAGGCTTGAACAAAAGAAGAGGAACCCTGCATGGGCGGACATTGGGCAGTCGGCAGTATCACGTGTCAGTGGTGAGTGAGCGGGCAACCAGCACCCATGCAAGAAGGGGAAGGCAGCTGGCAGGAGCTGCCTGGCGAGCGCATGTCATAGCCGATCGACTGCACTGCGCCGGAAGTGGGTGGGGTGAGCGGTCGTGGTTGGTCACGGAGGAGAGCAGTAGTGGGGACAGGTGGATGCTTATCTGTGAATGGCCCAGGAGCATGTTTGTGATCAGACTCTTCTGTGGCATCTGGCGAGGGAGAGTGGGAAGGGAGTGAGAGATAGTAAGCTAGAGATGTAGACGGACACACCATAGCTAGAGCTACTCTGTTGTTGTATTGATTGTTGGAAGCGGGAAGAGGGCTTTGATTGTCACAGGACTATTGTTCAGTATGTTCTTGGATTGGTGTTCTCCCTGCTTTATCATTGCGCTTCCAACTTGGCTTACCCATGATTGGTCTGCTGAGGTTTTGCATCTTGAAACTTCATAGTTCTCATTCGCTGCTTCTTTGCGGCTCTTGCCGCGCGTTTTTCAGGTCTTGCGATTGAATCCGTCCAAACATCGGGATCTGGTGTGGACCTTGGGGGTACCCCAGAAAACAAATTTTGATGATCTTTTTTTTCTTTTCTTTTCTTGAATTTGGTTGCGAATTTGAAGATGACCATCAAGCAGAGGTGTTTCCATTGCGTTTGCTGCGCAACATTTTCTTTTCCAGGTTTTTAATTTATTTTTTGAATCCGTATGTAGCTGGATGTGGGGCAGTGGTCCAAATGCCAGGGTTTCTTCAACTTTCTTGTAAGTTTTCACCTGACTTTGTCGACTCTTGCTGTGTCCCAATTCTGTGTCTTTGCATGCTGCTGCCCAACAGCCAGGTTCTGAAGCGGAATACTCCCTCTTTGCAGTGGTAGTTCATGTTGGTAGTGGACCTAATCATGGCCACTATGTCAGCCTTGTGAAAAGTCACAATCACTGGTTGTACTTTGGTGAGTTGGATGCGTCTGGTTTGTTCTAGCCTCTCTGTATGTTGCTCCTTTTGTCTCCCTTTCTCTTCGCTTAATTTGTGTGTACTTTGGTTCATCCACGGGGTTGTTCCCGTCAACAGCCTTGTGACACGTCACAATCAATGGTTGTAGTTTGGTGGGTTGGATGCTGCTGTGCTCGTGCATCCCTATCCCGAGCCAGAATATCTAAGGTGGAGGTGTGCAGGGTCAACGTTTGAATATTTTCCGTCGTACACATGTATGCTATATGCCATGATACCTGTCATTCAATAAAGGAAGTACATTTACTTAGTCGTTTCGACTCGTTTGTGAGTAGCGCAGGATCAATTGAAGGAGAGAGGATGAGGAAGATTAAGAAATAATTGTTATGATCCTGGCTAATTTGCAGTGCTTCAGCTCAAAGAAAGAAAATGCAGTTCAATTGGAACTGAAGTGAAAGAATTTGGGAAAGGAAAAATGGACAAAGGAAGAAGAAAAAATAAGGATGGAAGAACCCGAAGAAGAAGACGAACACCAGCAAAGACCAGTGTTAATCTCCCTTCATCTCGCCACCATCTTCAATCTCCAATCACTACCTCAACTCTTGATTACAATTATATAATAATCATAATCATAATAATAATAATAATAATAATAATAACAAGTGGACCCGGCACGGCGACGCTGCACCGCAGGCCCAACCCTGCCTACCCATGCCAGGAGCGGAATGGGCGGCCCCATATGGTACACGCCACACAGTGTGGACTGGATGGTGCCAATCCACCACTCAATGTTCAACATGGAACGTTTCGAGGCCCACAAAGACCAGAGCGCTAGTTGCAAGCGGAGTGCGGTCCAGAAACACCGGAGCTCCAGTCCTAAAGAATGAAAAGAAACTGCTGAGTTTGCTGAACGGGACTGGGGGTGGTTATGTGGTTGTCCAGCAATGGAGCAGCATCCCAGGTCTTTCCGTCCCTCCGTTCACAGCATGTTATGCACTAATCAGAGAACAGTGGGACTGGTACAGACTCGAACTGGGACAACTCGCCATGTAACATCCGCTCCCATGGGACTGGCACCGTTCAACGGGACTGCATGCACAACGGCACAGCTGGATGCTGGAACTCAGGAGAACAGCGGAACATCACACACAATGGGACAGCTCACATGACGGGACAGCTGCACACATTGCAATGAGCCCAGACGTGATGATACTCGTCAACATTACCAGTCCATATGATTATCGATCTGCTGATGAATGACAACAATCGCAAAAGTGTGTGATGATAGAATGAGGTGAGAATCATACACAGACGAAGGAGGAGAGAGGGAGAATAGACAAAGGAGAGAGAAGAAGACAACAGCCCACTTCTACTTCKGGTTCCTCCTCCTCCTCGCCACCTCATCAATCAATAGACTGAATACAATGTCTGAAGTTCTTCCTCAAGGTGCCATGTGGCACGTCAATCTGTCTACATCAGCAATATCGTCATCAACCAGGTACGTATCCTCGATAACCACAGTCTTGATCCCCTTCCGAGATGACGAAGAATCAGAACAGCCTCATCAATCACGTAGCCCGCCACGTCATCAACATATACAGGTGGCAGCGGCCACGTCAGCAATGGCGCATGGCAGCTGCCACGTCAGCATGCCCAGAAGACCATCACCAGCCAGCACCATGCCAGCCAGCAGCGCCTTGCTGTCCTCCTCTGGCAGCGTAGAGCCGGCGTCAAGATAATGTCGCAATGTCGCAGCATAGCAACAGCATCAAAGTCCACGGGTGAAGTCAGCATTCACGCAAGACTGAATGCTCTCTAGCCAGGAAGTCAACTCTTAAATAGCGTGGATGCGGGGTCTGGACCCCGGGTGCTGAAGTCCTGCACCGTCCAGATCTCGATATGAATGAGGGCCCAGATTGGCCAGAAACTTTATTCCTCCCGCCCTGAATGCTGTCTGGGTACCTGCACACAACAAGTGACTGTATCCGACCATAGGCCTGGGCACGGTACCTGTGACTCTACAGTTGACTTTGACTGTTGAATTTCCTTTGTGCCGCGTTCGGTCACACAGCCTCCTCGACAGACTCAGGCTGGGCATGTCTCGGTCACATAGCCTGGCACAGACAACTGAGTCTGTGTCTTACCGGGGGCAAAGTTCTGAGCCCCGGTCTGCTGCTGAACAGGGTTACTGCACAACAGGACAGTTCTGACAGGACAGCTGCATGCACAATGGGACAGTTCTCGTGTCCCGCTATTACATTTGGTGAGTAGTGGAGTGAGCCGCTATGCACTTGTGTTCAAACATGAAAGCCTCCCCCCACGTCTCACCGCACACAAAAGACGAAATTAAAAAAGAATATGGCGGTGTATCTTTCCATTCTATAGCGGAAAATTCATTGAATTTCATTCTCATTTTGCATTTGAACATGAGAGCCTTTCCCCCGCGTCTCACCGCGTGCACAAAACACAAAAATAAGACCCTACATGCACAAAAGACAGAAAATAATATGGTGTATCTTTCCATGCTCTAGAAGATTCGTTCTCATTTTGCCTTCGAACATGAGAGCCTTCCCCTGTTGTCTCACCACGTGCATAAAAGACAAAAAAGACAAAAACTGTGGTGGTGCATCTTTCCATGCTCTGGTGGAAGACTCAAGCTCATTTTGCACATTTGGTGAGTAGTGGAGCAAGCCGCTATGTACTTGTATTCGAACGTGACAGCGCCTCTCTCCCCCCCCCCCCCCCCCCCCCCCCCCACCTCTCACCGCCTGCACAAAGACAAAAAAATTACTTTCTCGGCCTGTGGGGATGAATATGACGACAATCGCACCCGCAGCATCTGCCCCAAAAGAAAATTAACCGGCCGGCCATCTTGCGTGCCCGTGAAAAAGACAAAAAAAAAGGCATGACACCACCTCAGGGCGTACTTCCGTGGCACTTCCAGAAAACGACAGAAAAACAAACAACAAGCGGCCCACCGCCAATGTGCAAAGTCGGAATGAATCTCCCAGTAGAACGTCGAAAGACACACTGCCATATGGTGGCACTTCAACCTCGGCCCATTGCCTGTGCCTTCGAGCCCGCCCCTCGGCTGTGCCGTTTCCCAACACTCGGCCGATGTCGCATGGGACCATCACGCGAGAACCGCTCTTTTCTTTAAGAGTATGGGGAAGGCATAACTAGAAGTTAAGATAGTGTGGCTACGACCGCACAATTCCAATTAATTATCGCAATACCACAGTAAAGTTGTTGTAAAAAGAAAAAACCAACAATTCCGGTTAATTAACTAATAATTGCACCGACCACCTATATCATGTCAACAACTTTTCAAAGCTCCAGTCGACCAGCTTTGAAAAGTTGAGAAACAGAGAATTGAAATCAACTGCTGCACAAACACCAGAGGAATGATGCCCACAAAAATGGTGAAAAGAAGAAGGAACCCCAAGCCGATAAAAAACTGATGATGTGTGTCATGTGGGTGGACTAGTTAAATTGGTGGAATTCATTGCTTGATGATGGCCGTGAGCATGAAGAACAGAAGTGGGAAAAACAACTGATGAAACCTTTGGCCGTTCGTTTTTCACCGATTTTAATCGATACATTCATTATCTTGATGAGTGGAAAAAGGCTCCACTGAGTGGAATTGACGAACATCGTGACTTGATTAAAATCAGAGCTGATGAGCATTTGGTGTTGGCGTCAACAAGGCCAGCATGCGCAAAATATGAAAGAGGAGTGATGCGACCGGTGTGGCAACATCCCCACCAGTAGAATTGAGATTGAAATTTACAAAAACACAAGAAGATAAAGAGATGACAGCAATAGAGTGACAGGAGGAGCTCCAGACGTGAAGAGGCGACAGCACAGCAGCACACAAAGGAAAGAAAAAAAAGAAGAAAGGTACATGATAAAGAAGAAACGCTAAAAGGATGTAGTAGTACCACATCATCATCTCTTTTTTTCTTTTTTCTAGAATCATCTAAGGCGAAACTTGGAGTGAGGACGGGCGTGCCTCCACGAAGAGAACGTAATGGGCCAGCTATCCACCTTGGATCTCTGTTTACCCTGTCCCTCTTGCCATCTCTTCCTTCCTCACTTTTCCTCTCTTTTTATTCTCCTCTTTCCATCCCTCTCTCTCTCTCTCACTCCAGGGGGTGAGTCCAGTTATTAACGACAGTCCAATGCCCTCTCATGCTCTACCACCCGCCTTTCCCTCTCTCTGCCCTGTCCCTCTCGCCATCTCTCCCTCCCTCACTTTCCGGTTCTCTCACAATTCTCCCCTTTGCATCCCTCCTCCTCACTCCAGAGGATGCATCTGCTAATTAACAACAGTCAAATGCCCTGTTATGCGCCTTCGCTCCCCTTCTTCTTCTCTCTCTCTCTCTCTCTCTCTCTCTCTCTCTCTCTCTCTCTCTCTCTCTCTCTCTCTCTCTCTCTCTC